CCTCACATATTTTGGTGGCAGCAAGTGAACGGTTTTAAATTTTTAGTAACAAGCGGTGGGAGTCACGGCTTTCTTTTTTTTTTTTTTTGCTATCTTAGCTTTCAAAGCTCTCTGCAATCTTGAGAGATAGAAAAGCTGCCGACTTTGTTAAGGATACCAAAAAGTGGGAGCTGATTCTCAAGACTTGCCCAACATTGCTCATTCTTATTCTGCACAGAGGTGCAGCAAACAAATTCCACAAACCAACCACAAAACATCAAATCACCTCAAAATTCTTCATCTAGTTTTTGCACACCAACCAAATTAATTATTTGCTTCATTTTTTTGGTTGTTGTTGTGTACTTCCAAGTCATTTCCAACTTACGGTGATCCTATCACCGAGATTGTTTTGGCAAGATTTCTTCATAGCAGGGTTGTCTTTTCCTTCCTCTGGGGTGAGAGAGAGTGAACTGCTCAAGGTCACTTGATGGGTTTCCATGACTGAACAGGAACTGGAGCCCTGGTTTTCAGAGTTGTAATCAAACACTCAAAGCACCACACCAAGGTGACAAAAGCGGTATACAAATACTGTAAATAAATAAATACATTTTATTCACAGAAGAAATGTTCAGGTGCAGTTACCAGTCCAAAATCCCATTCCTATCATTTAATTATCCTGCTCATAACTACATCTTTCTCAAGAAAAATGAATAGGTTGCATGACTCTCTTTGAGTGACGACTCTATGGTAGAGCCTTCCATGGTAGCAGCATGTTGATTCACAGTCTGTGTATGTGGGGATTGAACTCTTTTATATATCAGAGTGGTTGAAGAGTGTAACAATTTCAGGAACCCAAGGCCTTATGTGTTTTCCTTGGAAAGCAATCAAGATATGATTGAAATCCTCTTGGAGTCGTACATATGTACAAATGTCTTTGCACATGTGGTTGCGCTTTATTCCCTCTTGTCAACAGAAGTGCTCATTTTATGATTGTATAAACATAATTCCACAACTATAATTATTTCACATGCAGTGTGCATCTGTTTGTCTGTGCTGTCAATGTACCAATGTATTTCCTGGAATTACCAAAAGAGATACTGCATTTCCCATTACACAATAAGGTATAACAGATATAGAACTAGCTGCACAATGTCAGTGTTCAGTAGAAAGGTTGCACAGAACAAGCACTATATGAAAACACGAATGTAGATTTATACTGTGTAAACCTGATGGAAGATCTCAATCTGCTTTCCTAAGTAAGGGAAGTAATCTTTATTAAAGAGAAATACTTTTGAGATAGAAAGTTAACATAGATCCAATTCTAACAAATTCAGTAGTTCCCAACCTGTGGTCCATGGAACACCAGTGGCCCACAAGAACGAAAATATAGTCCGCGGCTCATCTCACAAAGCCCTTTTATAGTGTCAAGGCAACAGGGATGTCAGGAGAGGCTGATTACCCACAAAAGATTACTACTGCCATACCAGCTCTAGATTATTAAATATGGTTTTCTGTGGGCGAGCGACCTCATTACCTCTGAGGATGCTTGCCATAGATGCAGGCGAAACGTCAGGAGAAAAATTGCCTCCAGAACATGGCCATATAGCCCGGAAAAACCTACAACAACCCAAATGATGACTGCTGGATGGCATATGTTCTGTATCAGAAACTAGAGCTGATGTGGTCTATCCAATGCAATTTTCTGAATCAGCACCTCAAATAACCAAACTGAATCTAAAGTTGACCAAAAACTGATTTGTAACCCTTTTGGTATTAATGTTGGAGAATGGTCCCTAGTCAAAGTAGTCCCTGTTCAAGTGGTTCCTGGTCAAAATTGTCCCTGGTCAAAAAAAAGATTGGGAACCACTGAACTAACTAACCAAAGGGAGTCACGCATATCCTTGGATGTTGGAAGAAACCTTTCTTTTTGGAGGATCTAGTAAAACCTTAGAGAAAGCTTAGAGAAGACAATTATGCTGGGGAAAATGGAAGGAAAAAGGAAGAGGGGCCGACCAAGGGCAAGATGGATGGATGGGATCCCTTGAAGTGACTGGTTTGACCTTGAAGGAGCTGGGAGTAGTGATGCCTAATAGGGAGCTCTGGCGTGGGCTGGTCCATGAGGTCACAATGAGTTGGAAGCAATTGAACGAATGAACAACTAAGTAAAACCTGAAAAGAAACAGGAAAGAATATGGGCAACTCTAAGAGTAGGCCACAAAAATTAGTGTTGTGTGAACAAACAAAGAACTGTTTGGAAACCTGAGGAGTCCTAACTATGTACTCTTTAGGCATACATCTTCATTATCTCTAAGTCACCTACAACATTCATTCAGGAATAGAGTGGGTCTTACAGTGTAGTGAGTTGGATGGTGGCTGAGAGAGAAGTGGACTAGTTTGAGACCTTCTGACCTTTGGAAAGAAGGGAGCACATATACAAACTGTATCCAGTCATGCTGTTGGTGTCCATGTCAACCAAACAATCAATCTGTTCCAGATTTTCATCTGATCTATAAAATTGCTGTTCAAGATGCTCAACAATGGCCACAAAATTGGTTAAGCAGCTTGGGAGCATACCAAATTAATAGCGTAGATTCACCATTCCCATTGGCATGTAAACCACCAGCCGTAATCCCTGTGTCTCAACAGGCTTGATTTTAGTGTTCAGGTTACTTTCTGCTGCATGAAAGTATGTTTGCATATGATTGGAGATCTAGATCATTTTAGAAAAATATTCTCTGTACACTTGAGGCCTAGAAACCTTTATCAAGCAACCAAAATGGGGCTTTGGATTTTCAGGGAGTAGATATCCTGATACCTCAGGCTTTTTAATCTGTGTAATAACTGCCACTGAGCAATTTATTAAACTCTTATGAAGAGAGACAGCTGTTTCAATAAATGTGTTGAGTCTTAAAGATGCAACAGGATTGTTCTTGTTCTTCCTAATCCCATATTTCAACAATCAAAGCTTCTATTAGTGCATCTGTAAGTATATCTGGCTATTTATTGTGTGTTTATTACAATATGTCAACAAAAACAGAGCCTAAAGGCAAAACAGATCAGAATGTTAAGCTGTTTCCCCTTTGCTCTTTTAGGCGGGCATTGCAATAAACATTCATTAGGAACGGCATGGATTAGCTCTTGGAATGCCTTTGCCCACAGCAATGGATGCAGATTGCTATTGGGTGCCGCTTTGTCTAACAGTTTAATTAACAAAGACAATGTCTGCTTTCCTGCCTGTCTTTCCACAGCGTTTGCGTCAACTCACGACCCCAGCAGAAGACTTGCCCCGACCAAAGAAGCACCAGATTGCCTTCTCTTCATCGCACCCGCATTCAGCCAGGGAAGTGCTTGTCACAACAGAAAAAGAAACCAACTTCTAGAAATCAATGAGAACTACAGTTTTGTGTCCAGAAAGGTGCTTCTTTTCTAGCAGCTTCTGTTTACATCTAGGATCAGATTTCCTCAGGTCTTCTCTGCCTACCTGGAGCTGGATCACTTAAGACTGGTAACATCTTCTCTTCATACTCAACATAGTACCTGATTGGATCAGCTGGAACAAGTTCTATACTTGGTTTTCAGAGCTGAAAGTTGCCAGTAGACTGTTTCTGGAGAGATTTTCCTAGTTTTTCTGAAAACTTCCTTTCTCCGTCCCAGAAAAAAAAATGTCACTTTTTAGAATTTTATTCACATAGTCTTCACCATTTTACTACTGTTTATTGTGGGCTGCCATTCATTTTCATCCCCCTCGTACACATAATTTATCCCAAATTATGGATGATACAAAATGAAAGCCGGGCTGACAACACAGTTCCTGCTGTTATCATTTGTAGCAGCAAATGAAATGTAGTTAAGAAAAAAAAAAGTAAGCTGTGCTTCTTCCTGCCATTAATCTATTGGATCCAGAGCTCACAGTACAAAGCCATGGGACTTTTTGTTTAAAAGTGACTCTGGTATCATGTGCTAACCTCCTTGGACAGTCCTGTTTCTTCAAAGTTTAGTTGCAATCCTCACTATACCAAGAGGGAAAATGGGTTTCGCCAGCAACAGTGTATTGTTATGAGCTATTTCCATCCAAAGCACAGTAGAGTATCACTTATCCGACCTTTGCTTATTTGACGGCCAATGCTCTTATCCAAAGGAGGGAAGATGCAGGACCGGAAGCATCCTCCCCTCTGTGATTTTCACGCTGAGCATACCTTCTGGTGTGAGCAAGGAGCAGCGAGGAGGAGAGCAGGTGGTGAGAAAAGCAGGCGGTATCGGCTGGGGCTGCTACCTTCCCCTCCCCTGGGCCTTGCAGCACTTCTTTTCCGGGGCCTTACATTTTTCTCAGGTCTTGTGGCCCACTTCTGGGCCTGTTGCTTCCTTTTTCCTCTCTGGGGCTTTTTCCTGAGCATCGAGGCCTGTTGCTCCATGAGGCCTGGCTCCCTCCTTTCCAAAGGCCTCGCAAAGCACCCGGGCTGGCTGACCCCTCCCCAGAGGCCTTGCAAAGCACCCAGGCTGGCTGCCCCCTTTCCAGATGCCTCGCAAAGCACCCAAGCTGGCTGACCCCTTCCCAGACGTCTCACAAAGCACCTGGACCTGGCCGACTCCTTTCTGGAGGCCTCACATAACACCCTTGCTGTCCTCCTCTTCCAGGGCCAGCTGCCTCTTGGTGTCTAGCACCACACAGTTGAAAGGTAGCACCAAAGACAAGGGAACTGGGAGGGATGGGGCTGTAGGAGACTCTGTATTATCCAACATTTTCCTTTATCCGACCTTCTGCCAGCCCCTTTATGTTGAATAAGTGAGACTCTACTGTATTTTTAATGTTGAGTCAGCAAGACTTATTAGCTTGGGACCTCATCACATTGAGCCAGAGAAATGTCTTCTTCCCACTTCTCTGTGCTGCTGGCACACTGTCCCCAGAGCCCATCATATGATGTAGGACTACTTCTGGTGGGGCTTCATGCCAGCAGTGCAGAGAAATGGAGTTCAGATGAGTCGGGTGTATATCCAACTCCTCAGATAAGAAAGCTGGAGGAGCTGAAGAGGAAGCGGGGAACAGTGGAGAAATGTGGAAGAAGATAGCATGTCCCCTGATGATTTATGTAACAGAGTGTGATGCTGTCCCGTGATTTCCCCCGTGTCCCCCAGCTTTGTAAGGACCATCTGATGAGGTTTCTTTCTAAAAGATCAGGTGAGATGTCAATTACTAGAAATTGTATAGGTGAGTAGGTAAATCAGTGTACCTGCCTCCATCTCCCCAAAATAATTTCTCTGACAACAAGAAAGGTGAAACACTTTAAGAGGATTTTTTTACTTGGCTTTAATTGTTTTGGCAGCAGTAGAACAGCCATTATGGGATTGTAATAATGTACAGCGAAAGTCACAGCTCAGAGGCTACCAGGAATCAAACCTGTGACCTTTTGCATGTTATACAAGTGCTCTGTGTCTGAGCTATATACTTACTCTCATATATTAGAGCCATTTTGATAGTATAATTTGCTAGTAAAAGGCCGTTTTGAAGGGGTCCATCCCAGGACCTCTTTTACATCCTAAAATCTTCATCCATTTACCCCTCCTGCTTTTGGCAACACATTATAAATTCTTTGAAAGCCTGAATGTCTCGGTTTATAGGTTTCAGATGAACAAATGGTGCTGAATTAGCCAACTCGGTCAAACTTGCATAATCTAACCAAAGGATGCATACTCCCTTGGCAATTGGGATACTTTTTTTTAAAAAACTTGCAGAAAGTTTGCCTAGATCTGCTACAGATGAAGGCTTTTGTTTTGTTTTTAAAGTTTTAAGGTTTCCTGTTTGGACTTCAAAATCAGTGCTGATCACTCAGCCTCTCCCATTACACAATGGCCTGGAGGAGGAGGAGGTGATAAATTGGAAGCAAGATGAGTTTGTCAGAAAAAGAACATGTCAAAACCACTTAAAATCTTTTTTCCTTTGAAACGAGACTCGTCTAGAAAGGCTGACAGTGTTTCAGCTTGAATATACCTCATTTGATACCGTTCCTTGTGACATCCTTGAATTGTTGGGAAACTAAAGAAATGCGAAGTGAACAGGACCACCGTAAAATGAAATGCCAAGACTTCATTAGGGTATGTCAGGACCATGAAGGAAAGGGCATAGCTAAAGTCTCACCAGATGCTAACTTAGCATTTGCAATAAAAAAAACCATGGGATATGGTGTGTGACACCAAAGTAAGAAATGGAAACAAAATACATGTCTAGGTGGGAATAATGAATACTGTTCAAATGGGCATCATTTTTCCTTTCTTCGTTGCATTCTTTCACAACTGCTCCTTACTTAAGAATAGTTTCAGGGTTTGGAAACATTCCTAGCTAGCATGGTAGCTGTAAAAAGAGCCAATGTGGTGTAGTTGTTTGAGTATTGGACTATGAGTCTGGAGGTCAGGGTTTGAACCATTTGGTGACCTTGTATAGCTATACAGTATCCCAGAATACTTGTTGAGTATCTGAACACATACAAAGCAATCCATGTAAGAAGAAGGTGTAATATCCAAAGAGCATATAGTATACAGTTATACCAAAATCCCCAATACACAGCTCAATACAGTGGCATAAAGCAAAATGAAAAGGAGCAGCCACTCTCAAATGTAACAGTTCTAAATCTGAAATAGATCCCAATGTGTATAGGCTTCAGGGATCTGTGTCCTTGTGTGTGTATGCGGCCAGTTGACATATGTCCATCTAATGAATTTAATGAATTTAATAGGGTTTTTAGGCAAGAGCAAGTAGCCCGGTTTATTTGGGGGGTTTATAGTCATCATTATTGCATTGCTATGTTGAAATTATTATTATTATTATTATTATTATTATTATTATTATTATTATTATTATTTTGCATATTTGTATCCCGTCCTTCTCACCCCCGAGGGGGACTCAGAACAGTTTACATCAAACAAATTCATAAATAACAACTGCAATTAAAACAGTAATTAAAACATTAAATTATTAAAACATTCATTTAAAATCACACATGTTAATATGCAAGTATTAGGCCAAATGTTCTCTCCTGATGATTGAAGGCCCAGGCCTGAAACAGTCAACCTTGTATCAGCAATGACAAAAGAAGTTAAATGTAGACCACACTTAACAGTAGCATTCAGTCAGAACTCGGAAAGTTAGATTTTTGGATCAAATGTTACAGAATCTGTCAGGAAGCATGGACAGTGGCAATTAGGCACTTGGAGCCTCACTATGTATTTCAGTCTATACTATTCTATGTTTTCCACTTAGCATACATTGACATTCTCCACAATGCCCCAGAATAACACTTTGGTTATGGGGACATTGTGAGCACTATTAAATGGCGAGTAAAAACTTTCACATAGTAAATCTGTGGATGAGAGAAGTATAAATATGGAATGGAGAGTTTTCCACTGCATAATCTTTGCTTTGACATGCAAGGATAGCAAAGCTGTTGCACATGTTGACCTGACAAAAACTTTGGTAATACATTTGTCATAATCTTTTGCTGCCAGGATATTTTATTACAAGATTGGACAACTTCTGACCTTTGGGATGTTCTTAGACTGACATTCCCACCAGTCTAGGCTAGTACAACCAGACATTGAAAGGTATTGGGAATTGCAGTCCATTGCTGTATCCCAAACTGCCCAGCTTACAGAATAAGGGAAAAGTTACTCTATCAAGGAAACCACAGCACCTGTCCAGGGAATGGGTAACACTGGGTACCAAAACTCTATCTAGAGCTTCCAAGTTTTTTTCTAGTTCTGTCCCTGTGCTTTTCACAACAATGCAGAAATTATGCAGGCAAACTTTCTCCTCATCCATTTGGGTAAATTCATGCAAGTTAATGCCTCCCCGAGGAATAGGTTGCAGAAGCACATAAAGCAACCAAGGAGACAGTTAGATCAGAGTGCCTTTCACAAGAAATCTTTTCTGATCCTCCACAGTTGGGAAGATTACTACAGCAATGTTCACAGCTGCTGTGTGGTTTGTATACAGACTCTTTCAACAGAAATACCTCTTAGCATTTAACAGTGGATCTAGATCAGGCATGGGCAAGCTTAAGCGGCTGAGGGGGAAAAGAAAAGGACCTGAGGCTGTTAGGAATGGTGGAAGTCCAAACCACCTGGAGGGCCAGAGTTTGCCCATGCCTGATCTAGATCCACTCATGTGCTTATTTTGCTAAATTTCTCTATGCCGGGTAGCACAGGAGTAGTTTTTAAAACTACTCCTCTAAAATATATTGACTATCATCTGCCTTTAAAATATATTGGCTTTATTTTTCATAAATGAGTGTGTATATCTCTATATATGAACATATATGTTATATGAAAATTCTGTTTCTAAGAATTTGTACTTAAAAGATTCAATAAATGCATTTCTTTAATAATAGGAAAAGGCTGGGTTTTTTTTTGTGTGAGGTGGGATATTGTTGGGTTGTCACCTTACCGTGGTGAGGGGGCTTGCGTGTTCCAGTGAACCTGCAGGCACAACCACCAGAGTCAGGCACTCCCAGGAAGAGCCACAAGGGAGATTCCAGACCAAGTACAATCTAAAGACCTGAAGTCCTCAATGATGGATCAGGCAGAAAATAACATGGTACATGTTACAACAGCTGTGAAGGCAGAAGAAGGCTGCAACAGATTCAGAAGCCACTGTTGTTGTGTTAACCATGTTGCGCAAAGTGTGTTTTAGCCAAAGCCCATGCAAAAGACACACAAACAAGAGTAAAAAGGAACAGAAAAAACTTTACTCTTATCAGCAGAGGCATAAACTTGCAGTGTTGCATACAAAATCAAACAGTGCAACAAACTTACATAGTCCTTGTAAGTAACACATCTTCATCTTCATTCAAATGAGAGAGCATAATATAAACCTTGAATAAATAGCTATTCCACCATAGCAAAGAGCATTGCTGTTAGAGCATAGCAGCTTTACAGCATATTGCTTCTCCAAACTGTATTCTAAAATCCATACAGTTATACTCCACTGGGTGTGGCCCAAACATGTTGGCTGACCTACATTACCAGCTGTACATAATAATTAACATCATAAGGTTTTTCTTTAACACACACTTGATCTTGCTATGACTTACTGTAACAAACCATGCCATTGGTCGGGACCCTCACTCTGTGAAGATGGTGTGTTGATTGGCTGTGCACCGACCTCCACATATTAAAAAAACTCACATACAGGCATCTTCCAATATACACTTGGAAGGCCATCATACTTGGACAAAGAGGAATCACCTAAGTAAGTATATTTTATGGGGGCAGAAGGAAGCAGCTGCCTTTAGGGACAAGGGGGGATTATAAGCATGTGACCTTGGACTAAGTTTTAAAAAGCACTTAAGCATCATGATCAATTAATAGTTGAGTGAACTTAATGGAAAGAACCATGATCTTGGACACAGTCTATACTTCATCTTAATAGCTAGAGAAAACCTTTGACTAAAACATTACAGAATGGCAGGCGGAATCTACAGTTGATTTGTTGCCTCACTGGAATCAGTCACTTTGCCTTGGTTTGTTGAGAGCAGCTAAAATGATTGCTGGAGGAGACCTATAATTTCCTTCTCAACCTTAGCATAGCTGCTAGGTTACCCAGTCATGCAGTACTATATTTTGAAGAGAACAAGCTCTGGCTCAGATGAGAAAGAAGCTAAGATGCATGAGTAGCAATTACCACTTTAAAATATAAGCTGGGACTTCCTTTTATGCCTTTTACAGAAGGTTTGTGAACAAAATCTAGGTGGATAAACTTATTCCACTGAGCCATATTGACAGTGATCATTTGGATAAAATAAAGCAATGATATAATGTTAGGGACTGAACCACCTAAACTGGGCTCTACAGGCCAATGGAGACTCCACCACAGACATCAGAAGAGCTGCAAGAACAAGAATAAGCCATGAGAGACAAAGATCCATCCACTGACCACATAGGGAAGCTCACTCCCAACAGAAGATCAGCAAGAAGTCTCATGCAAGAGTAAGGCTAAGCAGTATTCTTTGGTGTTCCTTGGTGTTCATGAGTTGGCGGCAGGTGGCTTCCATCTTAACACAATGTTGAATCCTCTCAGTTAATCACTGATGGAACTTAATGAAAGTTAGTTTAAACTATAGAAGCTATTCAAGGTGTTGAATCTGTTTCTGGATAGAATCCAGCACCTCGGAGAGTTCCTTTAACTCTACACTGGATCTTGGAATCGATTCACTGTAGATTGGGGAAAACTGTTACTGGATACTCATATGTTATGCATTAATTACACAGTTTCTCAGGATAGATGTGAAAATTTTGGATAATTTTGATTTTGTGGATGTGAGTACGCCTTCCACCAATGCAAGGTGTCGTTATTTCACCCCATCCCTTTTATATCAGCTGTGGCATATATGTCAACCAGAGGGCAATCCAGTGCTGGCAAGCCTCTAAATACTTAGACTGCTCTTGGAATGCCTACATACAGTTTCCCTTCAAGATGATACTGGAGACCTTTGGAGCTTGGTTGGCAGAGACTTTGAGAGACCGGAGTCATCACCAGGAGGCAACAGACTAGGAATGTTCAGAGTTTTTGAAGAGCTAACAATATTTTAAGACAAGCATGTAAAGACACTTTTATTATTTGAAAACCCAAAAGTCCACACCCTTCAAGACATTACTTACTAAGGCAATCCCTCGTTGTCCGTGTATGATGGCCTTCCAAGTGTGGTGTCTTGGTGGTGCATACGTAGGTGGCAGTAGAGTCCTATTCTTGATCTGCATGTTCTTCCACAGTGAGGATATCGGTTTCCAGGTGGAAGATGGTCCTGGTCAAGGTTGGCTTGACTTGCCTTCCTCTTGGCATGTTTCTCTCTTTCACCCTCCATCCATGCCTCGTCAAATTCTGCAGCACTGCTGGTCACAGCTTACCTCCAAGGGCCAGGACTTCCCAGTTCTTGGTGTCTATGCCACGGTTTTTAAGGCTGGCTTTAAGCCCATGTTTTAATCTCTTTTTGTGTCCACCAACATTACATTTTCCATTCTTGAGGTGGGTGTATAGTAACTGTTTTGAGAGACGGTGATCAGCCATTTGGACAATGTGGCCAGTCCAGCGGAGTTGATGTTGTAAGAGCATCACTTCAGTGTGAGTGGTCTTTCCTTCTTCCAGCATGCTGACATTTTCCACCTGTCTTCCCAAGAGATTTGTAGGACCCTTCAGAGCCATACTCACAAAACAGTAGATGGGTTGAAATTCCACAATCAATAGTGAGGAATGGATAAAGAAGAAAATTCGTTGATGAACAGATTGAGTTTATTGACACCATTGACTTTGTGTCTGTGTGTGTGTGTGTGTGTGTAACTGTGTATATAATGGGTTGGTTGGTTTATATACCTCCTTCCTCCTTCTCAATATAGGACCCAATGTAGCATCTAAATGGCTAATTTGGGCAAAACCTATTTTTCTTTAGTTCTATTTCTATCATTAAGTATTTTATTTTAGAAAAACAAGAGTAATTACTCCCTATCTACCATTGGTATTACTATCTTTATTTATGCTTCACCTTTCTCCAATATTGAGATTCAAAGTTGCTTACAAATTAAAATGATAATGATATAGTAAAAACAGAAAAATTCAGCATTAAAATAGAAACATATTATTTACAATATGCCGTCACTCCCCAGGGGAGTGGCGGCATATAAGTTTGAATTATAAATAAATAAATATTCAAACAAATAAAAAATAAACAATTAAAAGGTCTATTATCAGACTCATGGTGCATCTACACTGTAGAATCAATGCAATTTGACACCCCTTTACCTAACATGGCTCAATGCTGTAGAATCCTGGGAATTATAGTTTTGAAAGGCCTTTAGCTTTCTCTGCCAGAGTGCACTGAGCCATAGCAGTTAAAATAGGGTCAAACTGCATTAATTCTACAGTATAAATGCCCTCGTAGTGTTAAATAACTGAAAGCACACTTACTGAATTATTAAGAACTCTTTTTGGTTTTTGGAGGCCCATTGTTATCCCAATGTTTGTATGCTTCTGTAATTTTAGCTACAACTCGGCATGTAGAAATGTTGACACAATGAACATTGCTGTTGCTCATCTCCATACCCAGGGAATTTTCACTGGCCTAATTTCTGGCAATGTCTTCATTTTTTTTCTGGCAGCATGCATCAAGCTATCATGCAAGGTACAACAGAGAAGTCAGTATTCAGAAGTAGCATCTCTGCGTATTCAGTGCTATCATAAGCCAGTGTGAAAACCGGGCCCTGTTTTTCCTGCAAGCTATTTATACTGACTTCCAGTAGCCACATAATGTTCAAGCTTTCATTTATTCATTTGATGCCCTGCCTCTCCCCAATTAGGAATGGAAAGAAAACATAATGCAATGCATAAAATAAAGCTATTATAGCATTGTGTTGCTAACTCAACTCAACATTTGCATTACATTGCACTTTGGGGAATAAGACAATGTTTGAGAAGATAGTGTCTGTTTTGGTGGTAAGCCTCTTGTGTAATCATTCATCTGCACTACCATTTCAAAGGGGGAAGAACAGTTTCCAAGTGGGATTAGTGACATTTATTTACTAGTGGATTTTTCTCTTTTTTTTTGCTCTTTTATGTGTTGGAAACAATGAAGAATTGACTTCAGTTAACTTAGTGACATCCAATGGAATCCTGGAATCTGTAATAATAATAATAATAATAATAATAATAATAATAATAATAATACACTTTATTTATATTCAACTTTAAATCCTGGAAGGACTCAGAGTGGATTACAATTTTACATTTCGGGAGATTGATATAGGGTATAAAAATAAAGTTATAATCATTATTATTATTATTATTATTATTATTATTGTTCTACGGATGTGAGAGCTGGACCTTAGGGAAGGCTGAGCGAAGGAAGATAGATGCCTTTGAACTGTGGTGTTGGAGGAAAGTGCTGAGAGTGCCTTGGACTGTGAGAAAATCCAACCAGTCCATCCTCCAGGAAATAAAGCCCGATTGCTCATTGGAGAGAAGGATACTAGAGACAAAGTTGAAGTACTTTGGCCACATCATGAG